TTATTTCAATATATAAAATATGCATTTGCATATAAATCTGTTCCGTATTTATAATGTTGATAAATTGTCCAATGTCTAATAATATTTTTCCAAGCTAAGAAATTTAAATCATATATACAGTATTGATTTTAAACATTTATATTACTAGGACCTATTATTAATTAAAATGCAGTTTATAGTACTGACATTTTTGATTTCAAACAGTTGAAATTAATGTTAAGAAATATTTATCATGTTATGTTAATATATAATTTTGATACCAAATAATAATAGTATACATTTTTGAGTAATTTTGTATTTATTAATAACTAACTCACTTATCTATAGATGCTTGTGGTGATGGTTCACGTTCTTCATTCAGAGATGCTCCATCTATTGTGCTACCAACCATGGTTTCTACAATAAAATAATATATAAAATATTATTACATATCATATTATGCTATACTTTATTTCAATAATTAAATATATTTAATAAAATAATATTACCATCATCACAACTGCTGCTTTCTAAAGTAGTATCAGATACTTTTAACAAATCTATTGATGAGTTACTGGTGTTTAATGTATTAATAACATTCATGCTATTTTGGACATTCTTTAAATTGTCTAAGTTTTCTAAGTAATTTGTTTGTAGTATAACACTATTTCTATTAGAATTTGGCTCTATAGACTCTTCTTCGAGTATATCTAATGCTCCAGAGTTCTAAAAATTAAAAATAAGTGTTAATAATATTAAAAAATGGGGGAAATAGTAACCGCTTGACTGTACAGTAGAGGAGTACTGTTAATCCTCTCTACTCAAAATTAAATACTATTATTTTATTTAAGAAGCCACCACACCCGCATGTGTTGTCTCCGTCTTACAAGTGCGTAACATAGCAAAATTTACGTTCAGCAGATCACGTTTAGCTCCGTTAGTTTAAATGGCCTATTATGAAACTCGATGGTAAGAACATAATTTGTGTTCATTGTTCATATGTTGTTTTTTGAAGATAATTAAATTTTTACCAAGTTATGCGTTTATAGTATAACGTAAATTAAAAATGCTCATAACTCACTTAGAACCAAATAATCGTAAAATAACAACATATTTACACAGATAATGTTCTTACCGTCAACTTTCATAATAGGTTGATTCACTGTAATTTTTAAACTAACGGAGCTAAACATGATCTGCTGACCGTAAATGTTACACACTTGTGTAAATGAGACAACATGAGACATGAGACAACACATGTAGCTGTGGCGTCCTCTTAACTCTTAAGAGATTTACCTCATGAGGTGATGATAATTCGGTAAAAGAAGTATCTAAAGATGAGGTAGTGGACTTTAGCAGTAACATTCCTCCATGTTGTGGCATTAAAGTATCTTCGTTAGCCATACATGTTACATTATCTGATATTGAGCAAGTTAGACTATCATCGTCCTCGATTAATTCTGGAATTGGTTCTATTGTATCTGGAGAATATTGTCTATCATTTGCCCTAAAAATCATGTTAACATAAAAGTAAGTGTGTTCTATCACTTTTGAGGTAATTAAAAAAGGGAAACTAAAGAAAAGTAAAAATGAACAACAAAGGTTTTTACATTTTACTCCTAATTCCTCTATTTCATTGGCTGATGTTAAAGCCCCCTCTTATTAAAATGATTTAAATTAATGTAAGTATATGATTATAATTTAATGGTCATTTCAATACACAATATTAAGATAATAATATGATACTCCAAACATGTACTTTTCTAAATTAAATATAGTCTGTCCAACAAGGAAACACGCCGCATCTGAATGAAAATCAGTTTATCTGCATATCACCAACATGTCCCCTGTCAAAGTGGAACTGGTCTCGATTGCAGTGTGTCACGATTGTGATACGAAATTGGCACGTTCTCTTGCTGGACAAAGTATAGAATAGAAAATGTATTGTGTCTTGGCCAATTTAATTCAGTGGCGCTGAACCTATAACCCAAAAGGGGCGACAGTCCACCCTTTTTTTGGTGGATGGGAATCCGTAGATGCCCAACTGTGGGTACCCCTCTGACCAGTGACCCTATACAATAAGTAAGTATGGTCACCATAAATATAAAAGGTATGTAGGGTGCAAAAGGTGCTGGGTAATGACTAATGGCAAATAATTTTTGCGCTCTCACAATATAATTTTAGTTTGGCGCCACTGATTTACTTAATTTATATAATGTCCATAATTTTAATTAGAAAGGTGTTCTCTTGAGCATTTTATTCTTAAATTAATAAATTATTAACCTATTTGGTTCAGTGATAACAGCCAAAACTTCAACTGAACTTGATGTTATGACTTCTACAGATGACGACTCAGGTGTACTAGTTGATGTTGATCCAAGTACTTCAATACTATCAGTAGATATTGTAGATTTACGATCACTATCACAGCTGACAGCAGAAAGACGATTAGTATTGTTAAAACTTGTACTCCTTGCTCTCCGGACCACATCAGTGTTTAATTCTGAATCAATCTCAATGACATTAAATTGTTCATCTTGTGTGGATGGTGATTGTCCAGTAGATCTAGCTGGTTGGTTTGCCACAATTAAATCATTTTCTGCAGATGATTTAGATAAATCTAACGACATGCTTTGCCTCATTTCTATAATATTGAAAAATGTAAGAATATAAATATCAAAAATAAAATGTTAACATTTATATTTTTAAAATAAAATGTTAACATTTATATTTTTAAAATAATTTATTTGTAGATATTGTTTGAAGTAGGTAGATACTTAATACAAATTATCAAATTATCAAATGAAAAAAATTCATAATTAAATACCTACATAATATTTATAAATGAAAAATACCAACACTTATTAGTATATATAATACACACCATTTTGTTTGTCAGCCACATCATCTTCATCTTCAAATACTGAATTGGTAAATGAACTCCACAAACTTGAACCCAATTTAGATATCTTTTGTTGAGGATCTTGATTATCTGTGTCTTTTGGAGTTTCAGACTCTTGGGATACTTCATCACATTCATCTTCGTCTTTAATGTCCAAAGCTTTATCAATAGTCTTTTGCGCTTCTTTAAGAGCTGTCTTTGCGAGACTTGCAAACCCAGAAGCGTCAAATTGATTAAACCAACTCATACTTTGTTGCTAAAAGACTGTTTGTTAAAATGTGATTTTATGAGACATTTTGTCTAGTTTAGTATAAGAAAATGCAACATGTATACTTATGAACACTTAAATATAAATTATAAATAAAAATCATAAGAAATTTACAATCAAGTTAGGGGAAGTAAATAATATTTAATAAATTTCTAATGATGTGTACATATTTGTAAAATTATATTTAATGTTATCAGTATTGATATCATTTCAATTTATATTATCATAAGGATTTGATAACATAAATAATAAATACACGGGCTAATATACTGATATTATAATCTATTCCTGACTTTCGTGGACGACGATTTAAGAATATTAAGATCGTAAATCGTGTGTGGACCATTAAGACTATTTTTGTGCTATTAATAGACTTATAAGTTAAAGACATGAAACATTTTTCTAATTTTGTAAAATTATTTTAGATTATTGTCAAATTTTATTGCCGATAAAAACTTTATCACTTTGTAAAAAATCTTGAAAATGTAATGCAAGGTTCCTTATAAGTAGTATTAATAGTAGTTCAAAATTATTGAAGAGACACAAACACATTTATTTTTATATGCATAAATTTCTAATTTCGACAAAATTCATCAAAATCAAATTCATAAAAAGTTTTCTATTTAATGATATAAAAAATTTGAATAGAAGATTCCCCACAGTTTTTTTTCTATATTATACCTATCATTCATTTTTTTTTTTAAATATCAAATTTGATTATTTATTCAATTATACAAGTGTGCTAGGATGACAGAACAGTCTCCATTGATAACCATTTATCATATACAATGATTGACTTAATTCAAATATAACACATCCATTATAATGACATACTCGACAGTCGACAATTAATATACAGCAGAGCGTTACCTACTTGTCCACCTTTCTTTAAAATTTGCTTTTATAGTATTGCTCATTCTTCAATAACCATGATGGATGGACAGCTATGCAGTATGCTTAAGCCAATTTCATAGGCTTATAATGAGCAATGGCATAATTTATGTGTAAGAAAATTAGGGTTACAACTAAAAAATTGTGCAATATATTCCAAGCGAAATGTTGATTTCATTACAAAGATAAGACTATAAATAATAATAACAATACGACTATAAAAATGACTTGTGCATAGCAGTTTATGATTGATAAATTGAAGAATATTATAAAAATATTACATATAATTTCAATGAGTAGTGTGTTCTTTATTACCTATTGGATTAGTATTAGCACTATACTCAAAGGTATTATTTATAAAATTGTGGAAACAATACAATTTTACAATATTATAATGTATTTTTGAAAACATAATTTGTTTTAATTCATTTATAATTCAACCGAATTCAAAATTTTTTATTTTCATATTATAAAATATTAAAAAATAAAAAAATGTTTGGGTCACAAGGGAAGGAGGCTATTAGTCATACATTAGTGACATTACATTAAAAAACTGTACTATACTCCGGCCACTGAGAGAGTGCTACCCGTTGGCGCATCCAAATGATCGAGCTCCGTGGTTTCGATCACTTTCGAACCCAAATTTCTTCCGCTCTACCATATAGTTGTAGCAACGACTGTGGCGGCGGCCAGCATACGAGCAGATTTAGTGGTGGGAATGCGTGAGATTGGACAAGTTTTGGTCGCTAACGGGTAGTGCTCTCTCAGTGGCCGGAGTCTACAATATCTGAGGCCCAAATCGCGAAAAAAAAAAGCCCTCGGAAAAAATTTAAATATAAATATGAAAACATACAAATTCAGATTGCACCATTTTACTTAACTCGTAATAACACTTAATACTTTAATGATACAGAAACTTTTTATTTAAAAGATAGTAAACAACAATTTTAAAAAGTAAAATTAAAGTCTTCCAGTAAATCTAACATTTAATCTGTACTCCTCATATGCATTTTTTAACACCATTAAAGAAGATCCCTGAATATTAAACATTAGCTTCCTCATTTCTTCTAATGAACAAATATCCATAAGATTGAAGATGATATTAAAAAAATGTCTCTGTAAATTTTTTAATTTGAAATTAATGATTTTCAGTTTAATAACATTTTTTTTAACTAACCTTAATCACGCCAACAGAATCAGTTTCTATAACAAGTTTAATAATGTCTTCTATAATATAAGAACAAACATAATCAAAATCGCTTTTATTTTGTTTAAATAACCGTGAACATCTGAAAAATAAAAATAATATTAGAAATATAATGAATTAATAATTTATAATAATATACATAATGTGTAATGTACTTTTCAAGTTTGTGGAAAGGTATATAATAATTCTTATCCAACGATGAGTCTCTAGACATAGGACATACAGATGACAAACATTTTTTTAAAAAGTTAGCAAATGTAGTTAAAAATATTCCTAAATATGGTTTTATAGAATTATTTGGACATTTATAAAGAACTATTAATAGTTCAGAAGCTTCCTTCAGTAATTGCGCTGTTTTACTTGTACTTTTTTCAACAAAAGTCATTATTCTAAGTGAACAATTTATCATTGTAGTATTGTTGATCTACATTAAATATAAAAAAGTGTACACATTATTAACAGATATCAAAGTTATAGAATATATATATACAATAAAAAAATACATATTGAGTTCCTTTAACTTTGAATAAACAGCATAAGTACCCATTTAAATATTTTAGTATGTATTAATACACTAACTAATAAATCTTACCCATGATATTTGTAGTAAAGAACAAACTAATTTTAATAATAAAATCAAACCTTGTTCTGTTTGAATCTTTTTTGTGTTAAATAAGTAAGTTCTATTTAAAACAAAACAAAAATGATTTATATTATCCTTGCGAATTTTTTTCTTTTGATTAATAAATGGAACGTTAAGTAAAAAAGACCATAGTTCTTGAATATATTCATAATAATCTTGATTTATATCTGATTCATTCTCTTCAATTATTTTTATCTAATAAAAAGTTAATTCATTTTAATATAGGTACAACAGTTAATGTATGTATATCAAGAATTTAGATGTTGTAGAATCTATAAAATAAATAATTAAATTATTTTTCTTTGTTTTAACACTGTATATTTTGATATATTATATAAGATGGTTTTAAAAATATCAAAAATAAATAGATAGAAATATTTCCTTTGGGCTAATAGAAAAAAAGAAAAAAGATATCTACAACATCAATACTAATTATAAATTATCAAAGAACATCTTACTGTTTCAATTTTCAAAATACTTATGAATTTTATTAAATCGTTAGACGAACATAAATTCAATAATACTTTAGAAATGTTATCATCCATGTTAATAGGGTTTAATACATATTGCCAACATTTTAATAAGAAGTCTTTTGGTAAACAGTGAGCAACCACTTCGTAATGCTCACAAATAATATTTAAAAGAAATTTTTTATCTTCTAATCGCACTTTCACATCTTCATTAAACTTAAAATAAAAAAATATAATACAGATAGAATATCATTATTTATTATATATAATAATAATAATAATAATTTATTTAAAATATTCTTACTAAAATGGTAATGTAGTCATCAAGTATAGCTAAGTTATTGAATAAGCAATCTTCATTTTTATTGACTATTGAAAAATTCAATGATACAGCATAAGGATAAATTAATAGATGCTTTTCTGAGTACATGTATTCGGAAGAAAGTATTACAAATTCATTTTGAGCATAATGAAATTCAATAAAAAATGTATTTGTAATCAAACGTGTTTCCTAAAATATAAGAATTTCGTTAGTATATTTTATATTCAATAGGTGTACATTAAATAATTGTAAAACAAATTTATAATTGACATAGTACATTTTAAATATTTTAAATCATAATATTATTAAAAAAAAATATATACTACTGTATGGATTTAATATTTTTTTAGAAAATACAAATAACAAGAGAGTTAAACTAAAGAAAAGTAATTAATACAAAATATACAATAAAACTTACCGGAATATCACCCAAGAAACATGATATAATTATTGCTTTATCTACCCAATTTTCGTCAACATTTATACATTTTTCCAAATCCTCTATTATCTTTTGTTTTTCTAAACTATGTTTATTTAATCTGTTTGAAATATTTTTAAATAAATCTATTGATTTATGTCTCAACTCTTCATTATATTTCAATTTTTGATAAATATTAAATGCGAAAGATACTGCAAGGAAATGCATTGGAAGTCTACAGATTTTTAAAAAGTCTAAATGATAAAATGTTTATAATTAATAATTAAATATTAAAAATGTTGAAAATATTTTAAATATAGTTACCAATAATAATTGTAATCAACTTCATAATAGCGGAATTGTCAAGATTAGTAGCCATAATAAACTCAGAAAGCACGGATAGAAGTACTAATGAAAATGGGCTGTTATGAATTTGTTTTTGATGACCTCTTAACGAAATGCCTAATAATTCTAAGACTTTCAGATACCTAAAATAATTTTTAAAAATATATAATATTATTGATTAACAACAATCACAAATCTAAACTAATTTCTTCAATTGACAAAATAATAGATATTTCTGGGTGTGTTAGTAATATTACTGAAAAGTGTTAGGTGGCCGGGCGTATCCCAAAATATTTTACTGGTAAACCACTATAATATTAAAATTAAGCACTTGTATAAGGAGGGAATGTTTGGAGGGGCTTATAAATCTCTCCATAGCTTTGAGTATTTGACTAAAGTTTCAAATTTTTTTTTGAAAGTCAATTAAAGGAAAAGTAATGTGGTTATAAATAAGCAGACATGTGGTGTTTGTGGCATTTTAGCATGACGTACAATTGACCCATATTTAATTCTCAAAATAAGATTTATGAAGCCATATAGAATTAATGTAATTGATTTTAATAATATTAAATTATTAACCATTTTACTGCTCCAGATGTACTATTAGGTCCTGTATTTTATAATAGTCTTATTTGCCGATAACTGTAGAAGTTTTGGAAACCTTGGCTCAAATTATTTTAAACTTAAATAATTAGATCATATAGATCTCAAAATTTAAAACATATAATAATAAAAATTTTATTTTACGTAGCATACACATATTGCAGTGGCTAAATAGTGGAGCAGGGAAAGGGTTAAAAAAATATTAATTTTAAAATTTAAAATCGAATCATCAATGTATTATAAATTATGATTTAAAAAAACAAAAGAACATACTTTTTGATTTTTTCGGAAGGCACTTCTATAATGTTTGTGTATCTTTTAAAAGTAATGAGTTTTGTTGATTCTTCAAAAGTTTTTTCAAAAATGAGATCAATTGGCGAATCAATTAAAGAAATAATATTTTCAACATTAAACTTGGATAAAATGTGTGATGATTGATTAATTTTTCCATTTTCTAAATGTTCACAAATGTTCTGAAGCGTATAAAAGGTTACAGCACACAAATCTAACCTGTAAAGAAAAACAATGTAAATGTCATGTAATAAATAATAATTAAGAGCAACATTAGAGCTTTTACTTGTAATCTTTATTTCTAGACTTTAGAAATTCACAACTTTGTAAATTAAATTCGGGCTTCGCAAAACAATTTGTAATTTTTTGCAAAATAAATAATTTCATTGATTGTGGAAGAACATCTGAAAAGACATGGAAATTTTTAGCCAACATCTCATCATCAGCAACTTTTAATAAGAGCTTAATATTTTTTTCAAGAGGTACATTTTCGTTTTTTAATTTTGATAGCATTCTCACATATTCAAATAGGAAATAAGTCTGAAAAACAATAAAATATATCATTACAAACTATAAAATATAATTTTTTTTTACTTCATAGAATATCCAAAGGTTTTGATTACTTACAAAATGCTCATTTATCATGTATACTTCTGATTCATCCGAGTTAGTTCTAAAGTATTTTAGTTTTGATTTATAAGTATCGCATATATTCTGTTCCATTTCATATTTAAGCAAAATTAAATCATCATCATTTTTTAACATGAAATCGTCATCAATTAATTCTGATATTACCAAAGTTTTTAACTTTGTAGTCAGTCGACTTAATTTCATAAATACAGTAAAATTCTCGACATCAAGCTAGAAAAGGTTTGAATGGAAATTAAAATTAAGATTCTAATTATTTTTCTAAAACACCCCCAAAAGGTAAGAGTAGAAAGTTTATAGTCATGTTTATTATTTGGGCCGAACACGTACTTTAGGAAGTTCAATTGAACTGTGTTGTAAATTGGGTGGGAAAATAATAGAAGTCACTGATTTAAGTTTATTGATTTCCTGGATTAATGAAATAAAATAGGTAAACATAATATTTGGACTTTGCGTCTTTGCAGACCATTTAAAACACACCTCTCAAGTCCCAAAGAATTTATTCAACTCCTTTCGGAGTGATACTAAAATAGCACAATAAAACATTTTAAATGTTGGTTCAGGGTTTTAATCAACAAAGGTTATGATTGCATAGTAAATCACTTGGACCTGGATCTGAAAATTGTATAAAATATGGTGTACTGAATACTGACACAATATACTATAGGTATCGTAGAGGAAAAAAATTATAAACCTGAATACCAGCTATTTAAAATGTCCTTAAATTCCAAACAAGTCCATTCAACAATTTGATAGAATATTGAAATAGGTATAAGTAACAAACAATATCCATAATAAAAAAAACAAATGTATTAGGCATACCTACTGCTAAAATTTAAATATAAATATTATACCTAGTAGGAACATAATATTATCTATATTATGTATACCTATTTTATTAGTTATTACTAATTTGTAAAGGTACAAGGTATTTAACTTTTTTAACTCACAGGTTCAGCAATATCAGCTCTTAGAAAACGTGTCATTATTGAAGATGAATAGTTTAAAATCTGACGCATTCGTGAATTTTGAGTCAAAGAGGTATATACAATTTCTACATTAAGTAGTCCATCACATATCTCTTCTACTGCCTGAAATAATTCACATAATTAAGACAGTAGTTAATAAAAGTTACAAAGATAATAGTATAATTATTAATTTTGTACCTTCCTACTAATATAGGTAGGTACTATTAAACATAAAATAGATACAATGAGAAATATTTTAGCACCAAATCAAGTTAAGTACAAGTTCTGCTGTAAATACAGATTAAATAAAATAAAATACTAGATATATTGTACAGGGAACATGTAGGTAATATTAAAGTGTACAGAGGATGAACATCCAAAAGGCGATTAAATTTAAGGAATGGACTTTTTTAATGGCGAGTTTTACACCTAAAATTTACAACTTACAAGCCGGTATTTATCGTTCATCTGCACGACTTCATCTTCAGGGTAAGCAAGGTTTAACTTTTCAAAATAATTTAATACTTTTTTGCTGCACGACATTATGAAAGTCTTAAAATATATAATTTGTAGAAATTAAATTAATACGGAATCAGGATTCGGGAGTACTGCTAGTTCCTACGGCCATTCGGAAGTTGGAACACGAGTAGACAGACATAAACACGATGTTATCATCATAATAATACATCATATTATCACAATGCAACCGCCGACCGGTTGGCTGTCGGCCGCAGTCGCACTCACAGATATATAATACCATAGAACGATATGAATATTATTTGTGGTCGCACGTGCGTTCCTAACCTAACCAATGATAACAGATAAAGAAGCGACTAATCCTCAATTTGGCCGCAACGCATGACGTAATTGGCAACACCGCCGTGCGACGTTGCCAATGTCGGTCCACATAATTAATAGCTGCTGATCGGGCCTCCCGAGTTCATTGGTAAACTTAGATCATATACTAGTATATGATCTAAGTTGGTAAACCGAAGATTTGGGACGTGTGGAGTGGGGAACGATTGTCGGATTTGAGATTTCTGAATACCTATACACTATAATATGGTTAGGTTAGGTTAACCTAACCTAACCATATTATAATATACCATATTATAGTCTATAATATTAATTATTTCATTCTACGATCGTCATTCGTGATTCGTCGATCGAGCGTTCAGTACTTCACTACTTCAGTAGTTCAGTGTCGTCTTCGGGATCATTGAGTAACGAGCGGTATTGTACTATTGTCCATTCTCCTCCGCATCGACATTCGACTTGCATCGGCGCAGTACGCACCATTATTTGCATTACTTTCGCAGTTTCGCGTATTGACTATTGAACAAATTTGTTTTACACCAACGGTTGAACAGTGTTGTGAATCGTCATGATGTCCAATATCGGCTTTCGTTGTCGGGTCGTTTGTTTTTAATCCAGTTCGTCATTGTTTACAGCTTTTTGAACGACCCGAATTTTTATCGCTGTGGCAGTTTTTTAACCCCCGGTTTTCTTTAACGTACCTACCAGCAAAATCAAACATTTTACCGCGGCAGAGGTTTGTACATTTTATATTAAAGTAATCTGGGATATTGACATCGTTCAATGACGGTTCACACTGGTTGTCTGAGAATGTAAACATATTGATCTTAAATACGGAGGAAAACTTCGTAGATTTTTAAAATAAAAATCATTTATTTTGTCAATGACCTACATAACGTGAGTCTAGTTTTTGTTGACTGTGCGTTTATTATTTCTGTTCAACTATTGAAGAATTGAACATTGTAATATAAGGTATAATCATGTACATACGTAATGTCCTAAAACTATATTGTCGTTTATAGACACAAAACACTGAATTCTCTGTAGGTAATTAAAACATTTTAATAACTTACATAAAGGGTAATCAGAATAAATTACCTCAGGAAGAATTTTTATCCTAATTTCAGGAATGATTTTAGAGAGGTCTTTCCTTGGCTGATTTTTTTGATAAATAATACAAGATATTAAAAATTAAGTTATAAAATAAATAATAATAACCTAGTTAATAAATTAATTACTATACCGTTTTATTATATTTTGACGATAATGTTAAAATTCAAATGCCTAATATAAAACATTACTTATATTCTATTGTTTCTATGCAATATTTCTTTTCAACATTTATTATAATAATAATAATAATAATAATCTTGGGTTTTTAATTTTTATTGAATAATGATTCTTTAAATTTTTAATAGTTGTTGAACATGTATTATATTTAAATATGATGCATTTGTTAAATCGTAAGCATCTACCTCCATATGTGTATTACGAATACAATACAATTATGTATTAAGAATATTGTATTCATCTACATTTAAAAAATATTAATTCAATCACTTTCATTGAAAAATGCTACCTTGAGAATATTGTATTTCGAGAATTTTTCTCATGTGAATTTTTAATCCACAATTAATTTTTATGAAGGTATTTACAAACCTACTTAACAGATTTTAAATTCTTAGTAATAACTGAATATTTTGTCATAATTATAATAGACTCATTAGAGAATACTAAAATTTTTTATATTTATTTTTATTATATACCTTATAAAAAAATATGAATATTGAACTTGCTGGTTATTATATACTGCCATACTGGCAACCAATTACCTATTGAAAGTATTCTTGATTTTATTTTCCTACTCTACGTTTCTTATTAATTTTAAGTTTAAATTTTTTCTTGAAACACATAGTGGATATAGTTGTTAGTTATAGATTTTAATCTATAATAGACAACAATAGAAAATAATAGACATTATTATACATTTTGTAAAACAATGAATAAATGTAGAATGTAAAACCAATATTATATAGAATGTAAAAAACAAAAAAATATTGGTACCTAAATACAAATGTCAAATTTATTTATAAAAGAGACATGAATTTAACACTTTCATTTATTATCTGATTAAATACACAATTTATACTTTGTTATGGAAAAGAAATTTACTAATATTGACGTATAATATAATATATCAAGTTCCAAAATGATTTTTATTTTCAGTCTTATTCAATCACTATAAATGTTCAATATTTGATGTGTATGTTCCACATGGATCAACAAAATTATACTTATTTGTGATTAAAATAAATATTTATTTAATTTAGATTAAAGTAAAGGAATCAAAATTTTCGGCAGCAGCCAATTTTCTGCTGTACTACATTACCAATAGAATTACTAAAATTATAGTTAAATTATACATAAGTATTTTATTTTTAATTAAATTGATCATATTAATCCTAGTTATGGCTGATCAGAGTCAAAACCCAGGAACTCCTGGTACTAATAATCAATATCCAAACTGGCCTCAGCCAATAAACTGGTCTTATGGAAAGTAAGTGCTTCATGATCAAAATATGGAAAAGTTATAATATTATTAATTGATTTAAATTAAATACTAATGCTTATTATGTAAATTATTTATTTAGAATAATATTTGTATTAAATATCAATGTTGATTTTGTTTTTGTAGTTTTACGGGACCTCAAATGTATAATATGAATGCGTTTTATGGGGCACAATGCTATAATCCGGTATGACTTAAATTTAACTACAAATATCTATTGTCCTTTTTTTCTTATCCTCATAGCTAATATGCAACATTCTGTTTAATTTTTTTAGCAAGGATTTCAAAGTTTTCCCAGTCAATCGTTAAATTTTAACTTTAAACCATTCGTTCATGGAGGTAAAGTATTAATTTTACTACTAGTTATTACGTCATATAATATTTATTTAAATTAATATGAAAATATGATATTTTGATGTATTTTCAGGCACACTAGAAACTGCCGCTGTTTCACAAGAAAATTCTCCTCCTCTACCAAATGGGCCAGCTCCTTCACAACCCCCTCCACCTCAATTTGATAGTGATGATTTAGATAAACTTCCACCTCTACCACCTGGTTCTCCACCACCAGTTCCTGGAATATGTGATGTACCTCTACGTAAGTTTGAGTTTAATTTATTACTTTTTTTTATTTATACCTTACAATTTTATTTTCAAATTTTGTCATGCTTGTATGCATTGTAATATAATTGTTGTAAAAATGAAACTATTAATTGATGAATGTAGCTAGATATATCTTTTGTATTTTTTGTACAAATTGTCTATTATCTTATATTTTATATAAGAGTGGCAATCCATCCCACATCGGTGGTGCTATGAATATAGTGGACCCCACTCAGATAGAAATTGTTGTGTTATATCATAAAACCCTTAAATAGAAAATATACAAATTTATTGGCTTCCTTCCAATATATGGTCTACAGCTATTTTGTGGAATACCTACCTAACTAATAGTATTTAGGAAATCAAAACCATATGTTACCATTTAAAAAAATAAAAAGCTATTTACAACTAGAACCCATGTAAAATTTGTTTTTAAAAAAATGTATAGTTTTTGAAATAATTAGTGTCGTATGTTAAATGTATCACCTAGCAAACACATTGTATCTTTACAACTTTTGCCGTTAAATGAGCTGTGAACCCAAAAAAAAAACATTGTTTCAAATTCTTTTCTTGTGTTTTGTACTCCTTTAATGTTTTAATATGAATGCTATTATAATTTTCTGAGTTACGATAGTTAAGTGTTGTTTATTATAGTATAGGTATAATATTGTGAGTTACTCCGACAAATACAGTTGATTGTAATTAACATTTTATAAGCCGGTAACCATATTTAATAGTTTGTTCTCAACTAAAAAATCCACAGTTATGAACTTGTAAATAATAATTATATGAATGATTTTATTTTTAAATCTATAAAATCAATATTATATTTTAATAATTATTTATTTCATGTTAAATCACTGAATTTAATCAAATTTGTATTTTAGCCCACAAACTATACTTTAATAATTATTATGTTCAATGTGCAACACAGTCCATAGGTATACTCCATTCTACGAAATAAGAACTCGTTTTTTTGTCCATTACTGTGCATTTTTTACCACTTATGCCAGTTCCGTTATAATTGTCAAGTGTATGTTGTGGATCGGTAAAAAGGGGTGGGGAATTAGGCCATCTTTGACATCAGTTGAATGTGCGAAACAAGTTCTACCTCTCGTGGATGGAGTATAGACCACAATTTTTGTTGTTAGACTTCATATTGGGAGATGTATATTTTATTAAATTAAAGTATTAACTACATGTTTCTAGCACCTCAACCAAATATATCATCCTTACCTCCAATGCCTCAAACCAAAAATGGTAGAAAAAAATGGAGAAAAAAACAAAGGAACTTAATGGAGGCAGCTATGGCTAACCAATCTGCACAAATTGCCCCTCCTATATATCCTATAATAAATTTTGTTCCTCCTGTTCCTATTTCACAACCTCCTCCTACTCCAAAACAAACAATATCAAATTCTTTATTTTCTTTTACTCCTATAGTTCCCAGCAAACCTCCACCTCAACAACCGACACCACCTAAAGAAATCCAACCTGTTCAAAAAAAACAAAATACCTTTGACTTGCCTGATAATTGTCCAACTAGTTTGAGGTAATTAAAAAAATGTTTTTGATTATTGAGAACACATTTATTGAAAGTTTTAATTTTTTTTTTAGAGAGTATATTAAAAAATGTCAAGATAAATGTATAAATAAAATAGACAGAGATAGAATGGATATAATTTTAAAAGGAAAATTGACCAATGCAAATCATGATGGGTCATTATGGATTAAAGACTGGTCAAAAGAACCAATGCCAATGTATGTATTATTTTCTATGGTTTTTAAGATGTTATATTTTTAATTTGAAAACTTTTATAATATTTTAATTTTATTTTTATATATTTTTAAATATGAAAATTATAAAATTAATACAACAATTATTTTGTTTTATATTAAAAATAACTAACTGTATAAATGTTTTTCTGTGTAATAAAATAATTCATGTGGATGAAAATATGTTTTCTATTAAAAGGTTATTAAGTGAAAATATTACAATTAACCAAAATCAAGAAAATGGTAAAAATAAAAATTCTATCATCAAAATTGCATTCAAAAAATCTACAAATAACTATGTAAACTGCTACTTTACTTCAAAATTCAAATCTTGTTTGTCTCCTTCATCAAATAGTTCTAATGAGTGAGTATTTAATCATCTTGTATATATAATTTTAAACTTATGAATTTAGTTTTTGGAATATTTAAATGATAATCAATTGTCTATTCATAAACATATTATTGTAAAATTAGTACATTGCAATTTGCAGCCAATTTAACACTGTTCAATAATAATATTTTTTATGTTTGTGTCATATTTTTATGATAAGCATGTAATTTATTATATAATTTCAAGTACATTTTTTTTTAGGTCTTATACTGACAATAAAAAGAAAAACAGTCCATTACGTGAAAACAAAAGACAAAATAGTGATGATTTTATTCCTCTTAATGTCAGTAGTGATGAAAGTAATAGCAAAAAAAGTAGATATACTTATAAGAATAAAAAGTAAGCAAATATTTTGTCTTATTTTAACCATAGTATAATCAATGTCTTAAATAAGTGATTTAATATTAATATTTTTATTCATGTATTATTTATTATTTTAAATTTATTATATTTATGTTGTATACTATTAGCATATTTTCCTCATCTGGTGTTTTATTTGTCTAGATTATATAATGAAGATGCTCATATATATCAACAATATGGTTCTATAAATAATAAGCCAAATTATGATAAACAATTGTTGACCAAGCGTGCGGCACGTTTTTCATCCCAAGGAAGTCCAAAAAAAAAGCCTCGTCAAATATTAAAAAATGATTATCATACACAAAAGTTATCTTCCCTGGATGATGATGAATTTCATATAGACTCTTGCCATATTGTCGGAACATGCATCGATTTAGAAAAAAAATATTTAAGATTGACTGCAGTTAGTTTTATTTATTATATTTATTTTGTTAATTATATCATTATTAATTTTAATTATAAACTAAACAGGCACCAGACGCCGACGCTGTAAGACCACTAAGGATTTTAGTAAATTCATTACAACATGTTAAATCCAAATGGATGAGTAATAGTGACTATCTTTTTGCATGTGATCAATTGAAGTCAATTCGACAAGACTTGACAGTAAGTAACTTACTTAATATTATAGATTGTGTTTGGTAATCAAAAAGTTATTGTTGGATATAGGTACAAGGTATTAGGGATCCATTTACAGTTGAAGTATATGAAACACATGCTAGGATAGCTTTAGAAAAAAGTGATATGGGAGAATTCAATCAATGTCAGACTCAGTTGTGTGATTTGTATGAAGAGTTAAAAGATAACCCTGCTGCTCAAAAACATAGAAATGAATTCCTCTGTTATAGTATATTGTATTGTATATACACAAGAGCTTTATGTGGTAATTTTAATTTTATACAATTTAAATTATTATTACTACTATAACTGAATTTAATTTGTATTAACAGAATAATTGTAATTTGTATATTGCAGAATTAAACAATGTTGTATTGTATATTAAGGAGTCAAAAATCAAAGACAAGTGTGTAGATTTTGCATTGAAAATCAAAGATGCTTGGTGGTTGGGAAACCATGTTCAGCTATTTTCTTTGTACAAAACTGCTCCTAAAATGGCCTCATACTTAATGGATATGTTTTTGGCTAGAGAGCGCAATAACTTCTATTTGGCTATTGCCAAGTCGTATGTATACAAACAATTTATCATTTATTATAACATTATTTTTCAGGGCATTACATAACATGTACTACAGGTATTAATTTTTTGTGTTTTTAACAGCACAATGTTTTTTGAATTTGAATAATTTTTCAATTTTTATTTTCTGGGTCAAGATAGAGATGATTTGTGTTTGTTTTAGACCATATAATACATATATATATATATTTTAGTATAAAGGCTGAAACAGCTAGGTCATTAGCCTACAATTATATTTACATTTACATTAATTTAATATGGTTATTTGCTTACCACGTAAATTATATTATAATATTTTAAATTTTTAAAAATAATTATACTTATTTCAATGCTTATAAATTAAAATTGTTTCAACAACTAATAATTTTGATAGTTTTGAATCTCCTTGTTATGAAATCATGTTCTATTAGAATATGTATTCAATTCAAGTATCTACAAATATAGTTTTATTTATTTTAATATTTCTTTTATTAATAAGTAATTTTTTTAAAGATAATTTTATTATGATATAACAGTTACCGTCCAACTATTCCAATCTCGACCATTCAAGATCAAATGGCATTCGATAAGCGTGAGGATTGTTTGGCTTTTCTTAAGGCTGCAGGCGCTGTATTTACTTCCAATAACGAGAACATCGACTGCAAAGCAAGCTGCGGTTCGACCGAAGCTTGACTTTCAGAATGGTTTCGTCCCCATCTCTACATACTCACATATATATATGTATATATCTAATAAATGAAACTCTTCGTTGATTTGTCGCCGTAGAAAAGAACCACAATGGGCCACAAATTAAAATTCTACTTCTGTATATAAATCTTACTACATCTATAAATTTATTTATGACTCAAAATAAATTAGGGATGTCAGTCATGGAGACTAACATATGTTTTTCAACACAATTTATTACAATGGATCACTTTGCACAAACATTTTAACCATATTTTTGGGCAATTCAGCTTCGTTTTATACGACCATCTTTTTTTTTTTTTTTTTTGTCGATTGTCTTTGTTATCAACCTTCATCATTCTGATGTCTACAAATTGTTATGAAGAAATTACTGATATTTTTTGTATCTACACCCGTTGTTTGTTATGTCATGACTTATGTGTAAGTAAAAGATGTCCCAAACACTCCAAGAGAATTCAATTATCTTGAAATTGGGGAAAAAGTCCTTGCTCAATGAAAGTATACAATTACTTGTGCCAAAACTTTGAGTTAGGTAAGTAGGTGCTCTGGTGCTGAATTTGTGAAAATCATACCTATGTATCATGGAAGAAAGTATAGCAGACACCAATTACAATGTGGATCAATTTTAAAAAGAACTGGGATCTTCATATCATACGTTAGCTATATGTTTGTTTTGTATGTAACATTGTAACATACAAAACATTTAGTTCAAATAATTCTTTTTTAAATTTAATTATTCAATTCGTTTTAATATGATCATTGCTATTGCATTGGCCTGTAAATAAAAAATAACATTTAATATTAAAATGTGGGTCTTCGTTCAAGGATATTCAATATTGCTGTACATTTCATGATGATTCGTTTATACTGTTTATAAGTGAGTGTGTAACCCATAAAAAATGTATACACAATATTTATAAAGTACCTAATTTTATTTTTAGGTCGATTTTAATTTTAGCATCAATTACATTAAGAGATGACCGACTTGACCGACTGTCCAACTTCATTATTGAATCAACATAGTAAATCGAAGGAGATTAATTATTGATCATATATTATATGGACTGAGTCATTTATATTTTTTTATAGGTAAGGATTTCATTATGTGAAAAGTTATTTATTTATTAACTTATAAAATAAAATTATATTAGAAATTCTCTTTTATGCCAAGTAAAAATATATCATAATAATAATTCCCCATAATAACTAATGAACAATACTTAATATGATATATACAGGATGATCAGATTTGTAAGTCACAAAACTAAAATATGATATTATCTTAGATATTCTAAAATATTCAGTAGTTAAACTGAATGAAATTCAGAACATTCTAATTTCTAATATTTAGTCTGAAAAAATTATTAATTGTATTGTATTTGTTTTTTTTTTTTCAGGATAGTTTTGTGCATAAGGTTTAGTGATTCTATCAAATTTTATCAGTATTCAATTCTTCAATTTTAATAGGATGATTAATTCTGGTCCAAATGTAATTATGTGAATAGTATACTATTCAGACTCTAGTGGTTTATTTTAATTTTTTTTAGTTTATGATTTCTTCGGCAATTGACAAATCACTTACTATATTTATATTATATTGTTCATAAATAATTTATGTATGCAGTTCTTTAATTTAATACTTATAGTTTTTTTTGTAAATATATCTTAGAACAATAAAAACAACATAACAAAGGTTTTAATTACTGTTTTATATGTGTATATTATTATTATTTATTTAATAAAAAAAAATTGAGAGAAAATTTATTTTTATTTTTGTAGTTGATAAATGTATTTTGTCTTTCAGGTCTTTAGTTAGGGGTTGTTTGTCTGCCTACTACCTTATTCTATCTCAAAAAAACTGAACTCTTAGTGCAACTGATTTTATTATTTAAATTTGTGTTTGGTACAAATGTTAGTTGGGTATAGTTTGTTAACAAAAATAAATGGCTAATTTCGATCCTCTGAATACTTAAAATAGTAATTTATGCTTAGCTGGTATTTGGGTTAATAGTAGAATCATAGAGATGATATCAATATATGTCAAATTTGTTGATATCATGAGATATGTAACTAAATTTACTCAACTATATTAATTATAATTAGGTTTCATAGGGAAATATTCAACATAAATTGTAATATACTAGGTATATAGTATAATTTATTGTCATACTAAAAAAATTATAAATTATTTTTTTCTGAATCAAAGTCGAATACAAAATAAAATTTCTAATGAATCTAGATTCAAACAAAATTTGTATTTTGTAATATCTCCTATTAAAGTTTAAAATATTCAGTATTAATTCTACTATTCTAGACTAACAATTTGACTACCTTGAGGATCATAATATGTGATACACAGAAAACTTTCCATTATTGCCTTTAAAAAAATTATATACTTTCCAATTTCGTATTTTGATCATCATATATGATTTTAGATAGGTAATTATTATCTGAGTATATGATACTCAAACAATTGTTTGAGATTATTTATTTACTTATATGTTATATAAATGGAATTTTCCACTACAAATATACAAAAAAAAAAAAAAAACAGCCAGGGTTGATAAAACTACTGAGTTCACGTATGATACTCAAGGCGTTCCTGGCTAGTTCAGTGAAATACTGAAATAGGTAGGGAAGTTTACTTGCTAGTCTGATCATTCAAACTTTTGCTCTCCTAATAAAATTAAAAATATCCACAGTGGCACGGACTTGGATAATATACTTAACTTAGATTTATCTACCCAGGTATCTTAGTCCGTGAAATGACGTAAAGGCAGCGTCATCTAGCCACAACATTTAGCGGTGGTTTGCCACGTCCGTTTACCAAACTTCATAATGAAGCCGTCTTAGTGCCGCTGCAGTTATCGTCCGTCCCGACGCTTCAACCCGAGTACATTAGAGTTCAATCTCAGATAGAATTTAGCCAATTTAGGTATACATCATTATTCATTGTTAGCATTTAGCGACAGTTGGTCGAGTGTCAGTAATTCAAAGGGGCTATATTCTAGTAGAATTATTCTATTTTGTGGTATTATGTTGAGGTAATAACACGAATTAAGATTGATAATTAATGATATCTTAATTCGTGGTTTATAAATTATATCAAAACCATCTCTGTGTTACCTTTTATTTATGAATTGAACGTAAGAACATCATTCTGCCTAAGGTAGGTACTTTTTTTAGAGTAGGTACCTACGTTTGTTGGGCTAAGGCAACCAACGCGGGTGTAACGGTTCTTTTATGAATATTTAGTTTGCAAAAAAAATATTTTACAATTTAGTAAAAATTCTATACCTACACAAAAAGTTGTGCCATCTAAGTTTATATAAGAGTTTATACTACTATTTATAGCAAATTTATTAAGAATATTTTCGATACCATATTATAATGCTGTTAATTATAGGTATTGTCTAGCGAAGAAGTAGGTAACGATTGTTCAAGTACCTAATCTATAATATGTATTTGACATTTGTGTATGTGTAGTATCCATATTTCAACTTTTGGCTGGGGGGGGGGGGGGGGCTGCAGTATATATTAAAAGCAAGCAGACCATAGCATAGGTATTGAAATCGTATGTCCTAGGTTTTTGGGGGGCTTAGCACCTCCAAGCCCCCCCAATTTGCGCCTATGGTAGTATCAACCTATCAGCGGCGTTCTCAGGAATTTTCAATGGGAAGAGGGGCTGTGGATAATTACTAGGAACATTTATAGGGGGCTCTAGGCACACTTGAAACAGGCATGCAAAAAAATATCTGTATGTCTTAAAGAATTATATTTTTGAATATTACGGAAATCGATGAATAGTCGATAGAACACTTAAGACTATCGATATATTAATTAACCATTGATGGGAGGCAATTCTAGTGAAAAAAGGTCACCTACCTAATTTTGGGAGACATTTCGAGTGTCACCATACATATTGACATATGACATACCGTAACTTATTTTGGTATATTTGAGTAGGTAACATAATATGATTTATTTTCATTGTATGTACCTATATAGCCAATTTTAATGATTTTAAAATTAAAACAAATTCAATTTTAATGAAATCTTATGAGGAAACAAATTCAATAGGTACTTGTGCCTTGTAACATCCGCGTACTCGTTGCCTAAAGACTATAGTCTTTAGTACTATGTTATACTCAGACACTCAGTTGCATAGCATGAAACTTGGTGACCCTATTGGATATAGGAGATGTCCCCTCAACCACAGAAATCAAATTATTAATTAATAAATAGTATAGCGTATGGCCTATAGCTTATAGAAGCTAATACTAAATATTTAGGTATATTTCCTACTCATCAAATTATTTAAAACCTTGTATAATATTGTATTTAAAAATTTTGAAAGTCTTTTCGAGTCTTCGTTTGATATGGGAAAAATCATTTGTCTGGGTATTTCTTCAAACTTTGGGGCCCTCGGTCTAAATTTGCCTCTGGTACACTTATACCTTAAGTTTGTCGGATAGGGCTTACACAGTGAAGTTATACACTTACACGCATAGTTATGTGTCGAATTGTCGAACGCAAAAATTCGTGAAATTACGTTTAGCATAATATAATAGGACGTATCGCAATGATAATCGGCATGGCATTGCACTATTGCAGTATTAATACGCAATGGGTTGTTTGTGCCACCACTACCACAATATAATATTTTTATTATCTATTCATTCTATTCTGTGGTAGTAATGTTCGGTCGTAATCGAGACTTTGGCCTTTACGTAATAATATAATATATGGCGGAGACAAGACAACTACCGTCGCCACTCGCCACACTTCCACTCGTTCGACATGTTAAATAATATTATTATTATTATTATTATTAGTATTATTAGAGGTGCTTTGCCTAAACGGCCAATCCACGGCCAATATGGTACCAATCACGTATTTGGCGTTGCCTAAACAGCCAGGCCGCTTGTCTCATGCGTTGCCTTGACGGCTTTTGTGTATCCTGGCCGTCGCTAAACCGGCCATCC